GAGGGCCATTGTAGCCTAATGAAAAACCGGAGGTAAACCCTTCTTGTAATGTCTTTGCATCTAACCTATTAGGGTATTCTTTCAGCATGTGCTGCAGTACATATAGCTTAATTGGCGTTGGGGGTACGGAATGCCCGAGGTTGCCCTGCTCCCATCCCTTTTGGAGGCGCTTTGGCGATGGCAGTATGCATTGTTTTTGCGCTCTGCGTCGCAAGGTGCAAGCCCTTATTGCCAGTGGTTACAGCCCCTGCACGTTGAAAATTACTACAGCACACATGTACACCGTGACTGCCCTGGTAACACCTGCTGCACTTGTGCAGAAAACCGCATCCCTTAAAATGACGCCCCTTAAAACTATTAAATGCGAAACAAAGGCCTTGTTTTGGAACCAGTGACCCAAAGGAATTGGAACTACTGGAGGGGTTGGTGATGTTGCTTGTGACTGATGCAGCAGCAACTGTAAGCCACAACTCAGTGTCAACAATTTCTCATGATCGTGCAGGGTTAGCTTCCTGGCGTAATCTAAATTGCTCATCGTATGCCTTCCAACCCCACCCAGGGAATAGGAGGGCTACTGCTCGGATAGTTTCTGCGTATTTAAGCAATTCACCCCAACGAGTTGAATGTTTCATGAGAAAGACCGACATGTAGGTATGGAATGCAGATTTGTCAAGTGAGTCAATCTTCTTTCGTGGTTTGTTAGCCTGCTTCACTATCATTTTGCCCCCAATCAAAGCAAACTGTAATTCTGGATTTTTATCCCTCATAGAAATGACAGTAGCTGCACTATCCTGAAACAACAGTGAAAAATCCACATATATGCCCTGCCAAATCTTCTCTTTCAGAGAAATCGGAAGAAGAGACCCTAACGGGGCACAAGTACTGATACTAGTTGGCACAGACTGGGGGGTATAGGAATGCAAAGGTGGACTTACATTTACATTATCTACCTCATTAACTACTGGCAACAGGCCCGATCTACAGGTATCATCCAAACATGCACCCTGACTAATGCTATCGTTAGCCATACTACCTGACATCTGGGAGGACACTGGCCCGCCTGAAGCTTGGTGAAAGCTGGTGGTAGGGCATAAAGGGGTATTCTGGATACCTGTACTTGGACTGCCTGTGAAGCCCGCTGCAGCCATGGCCGTATGGGCAGTGTGCACCTGAGATGTTGGCCCAAGTGTCACATTGGTGTTGCTACCCATTTCCCTATGTTGCTGGTTGCTTACTTGCCATACTTGATGAGGAGCTTGAAAACTAGCTACCATGTTCGCAGGATGACCAGCATTGGATGTAGGGGGAACAGGAGGCAGCACAGAGGGGGCAGTAGGAGGCAACATAGTGGGGGCAGCACAGTGGGGGCAGCAGGAGGCAGCACAGTGGGGACAGCAGGAGGCAACACAGTGGGGGCAGCAGGAGGCAGCACAGTGGGGGCAGCAGGAGGCAGCACAGTGGGGGCAGCAGGAGGCAGCACAGAGGGGGCAGCAGGAGGCAGCACAGTGGGGGCAGCAGGAGGCAGCACAGTGGGGGCAGCAGGAGGCAGCACAGTGGGGGCAGCAGGAGGCAGCACAGAGGGGGCAGCAGGAGGCAACACAGTGGGTGATGTGGTCATCACTGAAGGAGCCACGGGATCATCAGGAAGAACACTTGAAAGGATCCTGGCCTTTGCTCTTGATGATCGTCTTACCGGTTTCCGTCCCACCTTAGCACCAGCATGCTTAACAGATTCAGCCACCCTTCTTGGTCGAGGCATTGCTAAGATTTCAGGCTTGGGATGAAAAAGGTTGTAGGCTAACACAATTCCCAACAGACAAGGCCAAGTCACTGCAGCAGAGCTCAAGTCAGCTAAATTCCAAGAAAATGTAGGCCTAGGCTATTTCACAGTGAAAATAATCCCCTGATGCAGCTTCACCATAGGTCTAGTGTTGTATTCTATCCAGCTTGCACAAGAACCAGTCAGCTAAATTCCAAGAAAATGTATTCCACAGTGAAAATACATGTAATCCCCTGATGCAGCTTCACCATAGGTCTAGTGCTGTATTCTATCCAGCTTGCACAAGATCCAGTCAGCTAAGTTCCAAGAAAATGTTTTCCACAGTGAAAATAATCCCCTGATGCAGCTTTACCATAAATTTATCCAGCTTGCACAAAAAGCTGTGTCAGAATGAGACACACACATGTGCATTCTCCCTCCTACACTTTAGCACTGTGATCTACAGCTGTGTCCTGATTGGTCCAATCTTGATAATGGTCTAACATGATTGGTTTAAAACTCCCTGTTGTGATTGGTCAAACTTATGCATAATTAGTGCCAGGATCCTTCTCAGAATCCTTCTCAGGATCCCAGCTTTTGGAGAAACGTCAATTTTGCAGGTATTTAAAGGGTTAAACAATGGGAATTTTTTGTGTTGTAATAGAGCATTTTATACACCTCACATTATTAAGCTGTTAGAATTTACACACTGGCCCTCATGGCATTGTAAATTGCAAAATAAGCTGGTTGAAACCATGAGTAGCAGTAAACCCATGTTTCCCCAAGTATAATGAATTTTGTCAAAATACATGCATTGTGACAAAATCTCATATTCAACAAAGAGTCGTCGGATCTCAGCTCGAAATTTGCTAAAACGTAAAACAAAATGGTAGCCGTGCGATGCAATTTTGAAGGAAAACAAGCTCTCAGTGGACTGTTTAGCTACTTTGAAATTTCAAGTGCAATGTTCCAGTCTTATTAATAATTATTCAATGAATTTTCTATTTACAACTTTACACACATTGCCTCGGTATTATAATCTTGTTTATGTAATGTTTATGGCATTAAACTGGCTAAGAAAGGGACTCTTCTTATTTAACGATGACCACTAGTCACTTCGTAACTTGCGACACATTCAACACATCGCAACTTTTGTGAAATGGATGATACAATGTCAGGTTGTCAGGTTGCAACATTCTTTCCCAGTACCGCATACCGGTACATTACAAAGTTCTCCTTACATTCAAATCTCTTCATGGCTTAGCCCCACATTATCTGAAGGAAATGGTACAATGGTACAACAACATCAAAGGAGACCAGGTCTGAGGTTGTCGTCCAATAATACTGTTTGTCCCCAAATACTTGTTTGGCAGCCTATGGAGACCGTACATTTTCCAGCTTTGCACCACGTCTCTGGGATGCCTTGACTGACAAGTTAAGGGCAATACAAGAACTTTATCTCGTCACATGCCACCTCAAAACCTATCTCTTTAGTCAGTTTCTCTCTCATGCATATCAAATTAAAGGTGATAGAATGTGGTTAAAAAAATGTAGTTTTTTTGTCCATAAAAAGGGGGTTTTGGGCTAAAATTATAGGTTTAAGGTTGTCATTTTGGCATTGTGTTTCCACATTCAAAATAGCCTGGTTTATACTCGGCATGAAAGCAAACTCGAACTTGAATGTGTGACGTCATGGCAAGTATTCGCGCTGCAAATTCGTAAAAGTTGAACATATTTCAACTTGGGCAAATTTTGCAGCTAACGTTTCATTACTTCAAATTCGATTCGCAAGTATGAACCAGGCTTTTCTATGAGTTTTTGTTTTTAAGGCAGAGAGAAAGGGTCATATTTTACGAAAAATATCACACCAAACATAGAATGCCCATGATTCAGTATGTTTTTTATCATGTGGTTGAAGTCGATTTCAGACACGGAACATTTATAACGTTAAAATGTAAGATCTGTAATAACAAAAGCATGATGTTTTCATAACATCAAGGTTCCTTTTTGTAAAATGTTGTTCGTGTTTTGGGGCAGTTTTAAGGGAAAGTTTCGCGTTTGTTGAGTTACAAACGCAGAGTGGTGGGCAGACAACTATTTTATTGCACACTGCCCAGTTAGGTTATGCATATGTTTATGTCAGAACAAAGGGTCATGAAATAAAATCCTTTCCAGTATACAATCAATTATTTTGTTTAAAAAAATGCTTCTTCACCAATGTGATAAATTTCAGTAAGCATTTTGTGTACACGTACAAGTTATTTCTGGTTTTAGTCACAAACAGGAAGTGAATACTGATTAAGTTTGGAGAGGATAAATGCTAAATGTGAAGTTTAAATAACGTATGAAAATATGAAATATATAAGTGCATGTATCAATAACACCTAACTTCGGGTTCAAACATGTCACAGCATTGGAGATCCCAAGGTAAACATTTTTTCAGGCCTAATGGATATCATTTGGGCTACGAAGATATATAAGACAGGGATCAAATGATAGAAGTAAGTTTAAAATATGATCGTTTCCAAATTCTCCATAATGAAACTTCCGGTCTGATGATGTCATGAATTTAAAACCTTGCGAAGTTATCCGTGGTTAATCAAAGAATATCAAGGGGCGATTTGGTAAAATATGAACGGATGGTTTTAAAATTAAAGAAAGCAAACTGCATGTTATGTTCAGCTTTTGGATGATGGCGTCATCCCAATGTTTTTTGTGTCTGGCAATCCTCACTAAACACTTTTATAATTTAAATGTCTTAAAGGGAATGTACATCATTGGCTTTTGCTGTAATTTTCAGAAATGAACTATTTGGGGGGTTAGTATAATAGATCAAATATTGTTGCACTGACATGTTTGACGTTTTGTGTTCGAAAATGCTGGAAAAACCAAGAAAAACAAAAATATTTAAGTAGTCTGGTTCCCTGACTCCACTAAAGATGAAATGGATCAAAAATACAGGAAAATTGTAAGGTAAGGGAACCAGTCTAGCTGGCCTGCACCCGTTCATGAACATGGAACCAATAGCTAGCAAAAAAAATTTAGACTAAAAAAAATGGTAAATTTGGAGCAGTCATTGAAAAATAGTTATGTTTTTCCAACGGTGTTCGGCCGACCAGCGTTGGAAATTTTCTTGAAAATGGCTTCATCCCAGGTGCCATAATTTCACAGGATGCTTTAGCATGTCATTTACCAACATCCTAGTAAGGTATTTCGTAACAACTTGGTAGTTTTATTTTTCGATGTTTGCAAATGTTGTATTTTCCCTTTAAGTGAAATGCTTAGAACTGCTTTTGAGTTAAATTCAGTTTTTATTGCAGTTCCAGTAACACACGAAGTAAAGGTTACACTACAGGTACCTACAATTTTGTTTTGCTCTGTCCCTTCAAAAGGCATGAGCAACTCCATTTGACAACTTTTGTCTTCGTGTTCCTCCACTGATTTATTGTATTAACAATTTATTCTCTCCCTTTCTACAGATATGAGTGACACCATTTGCACTTTCCAACAGCTCAGAAAGGCAAAGGAAAAAGCCTTACGCTTTTCCTACCATCAGGATAACTACAGTTTTTACTCCCTCTCTCGATTTATCCCCAAAGGTTTGCAACTGTCTCACACTCCCTGCTTAGGAAACCTCCCACCACACCTTCAAAGGAGATGGAATCAAGTTCTACATGGTGCCTCTATTAAACTCATCAATATTCTCTCTCAGCAGTGTCAATTTACACGTGAGGACCTCCATCAGAATATTTCCCACCTTGACTCCCAACTCAAATCCAGTTGTTCTGACTCCACGTACAGGAATTTCCATGATGAGATTGAAAGGGGTTTGTCTAACCTTGACTCTGTCCTACTCAACAGGAGAAACAAGAAGATTGGTGGCTTGCTTGCCAAGCAACAGCAACGCAGACACAGACGTTTCAGACGTCCTAGGTCCCCATCTACCACGCCACCGCCAGAACCCCCTGTCAACACTGTAGTTAATCTTTCTTCCTCATCAATATCTGACGCAGAGCACAAACTTCTCTCCAAGGGTCTCAATTTTTGTCCCGCTCCCCGTTCTGTGAACCAGGTTCAGCTCAGCCAAGATCTCACGGAATACTACCGCAGAATCCGCCTGCGTGAGTTTTTCCTGGACAGTGAACCGTGTGAGCCAGAGCCTTTTCGAGTCAAGAGTTCATGGGTACCCCCCAAGAATCGTGTGCCAGCCATAGAGACATACGTTCAAGTTATCAATTCCCAAGTCACTAACCCGGACAACTTCCCCCACAGGACTCATGATAATCTCCCCAGAGAGGAGCGCCTGGCTCTCAACTCCTTGCGCTCTCGCACCGACATCATCATCAAGCCAGCAGATAAAGGTTCAGCTGTGGTCATCATGGATCGTCAGCAGTACATTGATGAGGCCCACCGCCAGTTGGATAATCGCACTAACTATACCCGCCTTGACTCTGACCCCACAGGCACTTTCTGTCAAGATATACAACAGGTACTTGACGATATGCGATCACGTGACCAGTTGTCGAAGAAAGCTCACAAATTTCTTTCTCCCTGTGATTGTAGGACTGCCAGATTTTACCTTCTACCCAAGATTCACAAGGCTGGCAACCCCGGTAGACCCATCATCTCCGGTAATGGCTCACCCACGGAACGCATCTCCCTGTTCATTGACAGTTTTCTCAAACCCCTTGTCCCACAGATTTCGTCATACATTCACGACACCCCAGACTTCCTACGCAAGCTTGAAGGAATCAAGGACCAGATTCCCAGCACAGCCATCATTGGGACTTTCGACGTCTCATCTCTGTACACCAACATCCCACATGAGGAGGGTGTTCGTGCTTGCTCCTTGGCTCTGGCCAAGGCAGGACACACGACTCCTCCCATCAGTGATGTTGGCACCCTCATGAGACTTATACTAACGAAGAACAATTTTTCCTTCCTTGGTGAACACTATCTACAGGTACACGGCACTGCAATGGGCACTCGCATGGCCCCGTCGATGGCTTGCCTCTTCATGGGTGACCTCGAAGAACGCATTCTTGCCTCGGCCCCATGTCGCCCATGGATCTGGTGGAGATATATTGATGATGTTTTCTTCATCTGGACCAGTGATGAGGACAGTCTCTTGACCTTCACTAACCACATCAATTCCTTCCACAGAACCATCAAATTCACATCGGAGTTCTCGGCTCACCAAACCCACTTTCTGGATGTCACCGTCCGCAAGCAAGGCAACTCACTAACCACTGACCTGTATTCCAAACCCACAGACACCCACCAGTACCTCCACTCCTCCAGCTGTCACCCCAGGCACTGCAAAACTGGCATAGCGTTTAGCCAGGCACTCCGACTCAGAAGAATTTGTTCTAATGATTCCGATTTCTCCCGCCATACACAGATACTGAAGAACAACTTGGTGGCCAGGGGTCACAGCTCTCGCCAAGTTCATCGTGCCATTGCCAGAGCTAAAGCTATCCCCAGAAATCTAGCTCTCACGGGAAAGGCCCCTGATGCCATGGCCAAACCCATGATTCCCTTGGTTACCACGTTTCACCCCAATCTCCCTCCCCTCCGCAAAATCACTAATGACAATCATCATATCCTCCATACTTCAGATCGCCTTGCCCGCGCCATCCCCAACGGCCCCACATTGGCTTACAGGCGTCCTCGAAATCTACGGGACTTGATTGTTCGAGCTGAAGTCCCTTCCTTAGATGCATCCCCTCCCACCCAGCATGGTACTTTCAAGTGCAGTTCCAGATGTGTTGTCTGCCAGATTCATATCCAGGAGTCTGACTCCTTTTCTGGCCACTCTTCTGTCACTACCCACAGAACCATTGGTAACATCACTTGTAACACCTCTAATGTTATATATCTCATTTCTTGCAGGGTCTGTGGAGTGCAGTATGTAGGTGAGACTAAGAATACGCTCAAGAAGCGTTTCTATGCCCATCGGTCAACGGTCAACACCAAGAAACTAGACACCCCTGTTGGTCATCACTTCAACCTGCCTAACCACTCCATTTCTGATATGATTTTGCAGGGCATTGAATCTCTTGGCCATCGCAAAGAGTCAGTTCGCCTCAGCAGAGAGAAGGTGTGGATGAATCGTCTTCGGACTATTCAACCACATGGTCTCAACATCCAACTTGGAAATGATTAATCCTTTTCTTCCTCCATTGTCCTCTGTTACAGATAATCCATCTGGTCTTCCTTGTTTGTGTTTACACATCTCCCGCCATCTTTCATCCCTTTCCACCTCAATACTGTTCCCCCCCCCCCCCCCCCGCATCATCCCTTCACTCTCACACTCTTTTGTCCGTTCCCACTCCCTGTGACCTTTGATCCTTCCCCTTTCTGGTCCCTCCCCTGTTTACACCACACCCCTTGTGGTTTGCCATCTCCCTTTGTTTCTTTGTTCTCTCATCCACCCTCCCCTGCATCTTTCCACACCATTCCCTCCTAATCCTCCTTTTGTGTTTCTTCTTTCAGCCCTGCATGTTTGTGTGCACCCCCATGTTAATGTATGTATCTCTGTCATTTCTGTTTTAGCCTCTGAAGAAGAACTTGCTAAGTTCGCAACGTCAGGCCACATTAATTTTAAGAAGTAAAGGTTAAGCGGTTTTGTGTCGGGGAACAAGGAATGTAGTCTACAACCTCACCAAAAAAACCGAACATGATACTCTATTGAGTTCAAAAGATATTGCTCAAACTATTTTGTCGAAATTTGCCCTCACTACAAATTATTCACTTGTAATTTGATACTCGATGACATCATGATGACATCATTATTTCTTTAACATCTTTGTTCTGGGTTCCAAGTTCATTCTAGGTTTCATTATCATCCTGTAAACTCGCTCAAAAGAAATTGCGATTTGTTTTGATTTTAGGCTAATGTCTTCTTTTTAAATTCACCTATCTTTGACCTTCCGGTAGACCCGTAAGTAAAGGTCAAGCAAGTTCACAAAGAAAAACATTGATCATTTCGTTCAGGAGTTATAGGTGAATGAAGTTTGTCAATTTTTTTTCAGCTAAAATGGCTTGTAATTTGACACCTGATGATGTCATCATGACGTCAGAGTAATATGCACCACTCGGGATGAGGGTTGATGTATGGTGCAAGTTACAAGTTCATAAACCATTTAGGAGAAAACCCGTGGAGAATTATTGTCCGGAAAAAAAGAAAGAACCAAACAAAGAATATTTATCAGAACAATTTAATTTATCAGACAGTGGTCGGGTTGTGCCCGACCACTCACAAAACGTTATTTTTTGTTCATGCCATCAGTAATCATGAACCTTTCATTTCCATTTTCTTAAAAAATATAAGGACAATATATTACCTGTACTGCTTGGTTAAAATTTTGCATTCAGTGGCATATCCATTCCAAAAAGTAAGTAGACAACTTCAGTAGGTTTTAAGTCAGTGTTCTTTCAGCAAAAAAAGAATGCTTACCTTTTTTTTGTGATTCATGGACAGAAGTTTAAAACAGTGTTTGTGTTTGAAATTCCTTAACTTGAAAAGAGTGATTTGAATGATTCTTGTGCTAAAAGAAAGCTTATTTATTGGGCTTTCATATCCTAGATGTTGAAAGTGCTACATGCAGAACTTCATTACATGAATGGTCCTGCCAATTGGGTTTCCTTTTTTCTGCGCTTTTGCCCAAAACACAATAGGAACTGTATATCCAAGTTATTCTGCGAGAATAATATCATTCTGGAAGAAGTATCTGTCTGGTTGTCCATTGTGGGATAAGGAAGAGCTTCCATGGTTTGGTCTTGTTCAATCTTAATTGGGGATTGTCAAGAATGTAGTGGCACAAACGCAGTGTGCACAATTCTTGTTCCTGGAGCTTTTTCAGGCATTCATGTAAAGTGACAAATTGTAGTCACTTTATATAATATTCAGCTTGGCATGAATAAAGGTAGCATCTTGTTTATTACCTAATGTCCCCAATATATTTGACAATATGAAGATAATTGATGCTAAATGGATTTATTTGAGCATATTCTGATATGAGAAACAAAAATTGGTGATATCTAGATCTAGGTCATTTGTCAATGTACATACATGTGTGTGTAACATCCTTAACGTTTTGGCTTGTAATATCAGTAACGCTGTTTTTGGAGATACCAGTACTACAAAAGATATCTTAAAAACATTCACACATATATTTGAAATCACATTTTAGCTTTGCAAATGAACTAGGAACAAAAATGAAGCGAAAGTTTCTACTTAAAATGTTACGGACATTACCCGGATATATGATGAAACTGGGCTTAATTTCGAATTGCCATTCTGATGGTGTATCAAGCATTGGCTTCCTTCTAAAGCAGATAAAACAATATGCTAGGTCCTTTTGATTATTTTATTCAATTTTATTAGATATCACTGAAATTTCCACCACTTGGAGGATCATAATATTTTTTTTCTATAGCTGAAGGGTATCATAATGATGCAATTTCTTACTTTCTCCATTTGATCATCAAAATATAGACCTTCATTGAGTTTCAGTTGAAAACTAAGCTTGTATATAACTCATTTTTTCACCCTGAGGTAACATTTTCTTTAGAATTGCCCGTATACATGTAATCAGGATGTGCAATAGTTAAAAATGAGGTGACATCATGATGACATCATCATGTGATTTTTATAAATTTTTGATTTTTTAAACCTTAAACCCATATCTCATCAACTAAGCGTACTAAATTCAAAATTCTTTTGTGACAAGTGTGTGACGTCATGATGACGTCCTCAAAAATGCGATTTCTTGAAATCTCATATAAGAGTAAGTTCGATCATCATGAATCTTGGTGGTAATTTGATACTATTATTTTTATTATTGTTATTCCTACAAATGTACTATTAGGGAGACACGTTAGCGTAGAAATTTCGAAAGTAGGGAGACACAGGCTTAATAGGGAAACACCTAGGTGTCTCCCTATTGGCCCAGCCCCCCTTTAGAGGCAAAATTTTGCTGTTGCAATTAGGTTATATTTGTTGCTCATGGTCTAATTAGTAAAAATACTGAAATTCGTGGAAAAAGGACAAGGGAATATTGGGTTAGGGCACATTTAAATCGGAAAATTTGTGTGCACAAGTCTATGGGAAAGTCTCCCTATTACCCCATTGCCGGTAATTATTATTATTATTATTATTATTATTATTATTATTATTATTATTTATTCGGCATTAAAAAACACATACAAACAACAAACATTGTCAAAACATTAAAACAAAACAAAGCAAAAAACAAAAAAACGAAACAGCCAGGGGCTTATGCCTGGAATTAAAAAAGTTTACCTAAAAATTGTGGCCCGAAGGCCTTCAACTCCAATACCTCTGGCTACACAAATACATGTAGGGCCTATACAATTATATACATCTATAAACATCTATACATTTATACATATATTAAAAATGCCAGAGGTATAAATGCTAAAAAGTTAATGTCCCCATTAAAAAAATACATATGGTTATCCCACAGTTGACATCAAAGTACCACAATGAAATAATTAATGGTATGTAAAATCTGAAGCGACGTCATGATGATGTCATCACCTGATTATTTATATATTTTTCACCTTTTTACAGTTTTTTCTATTAGCAAAATATGACATGAAATACAATTAGATTGACTTCAAATTAGGCACAGACATAGAACCTGAGGTTAAGTTGGCCCTAGACAAATGATGTCATGATGACCTCATTAGTGGTCATTGACGTCATCTTAAAGATGTATATTTTAAAATTCTATATCTAGAGAATGTATGTTGGATTGGGTTCAAACTTATGTAAATTGGTAGCCCTGTTAGAGACAAAATTTGAGTGACGTCATGATGATGTCATCATGGATCATGAGATGTCATGAGGTGCACATTTTTAAGTCCTTTATCTGGAGAATTAATCATTGAACTTTGTTTTTGCATGTAATTTACCCTGACTGCATATGGACAAAACAAAACGTAAACTCATAAAAAAAGAACATAATGCCAGAAAGCCCTAGAACTTTGTTCTGTTCATCAAACAGACATACATGTAGTTCTAGTTTGATTTTGCAACCTTTCTCGTAAAACTCTCCTTTTATAGATTGAACCTATAGGCCTATATATTTCATTAAATTCTTGCAAGAAAGTTCACAGGGGTTTATCATGGTTTACTGAAAATTAAAAATCGATGTCTTAAAGCGTAACATCCATAATGGCCATTTGCAGCACATATATCTCATTAATTTGTTCAGCTAAACATTACATTAACCATGTCGTGTTGTGCATTAAGGCCTAAGCTATTATAACATTTTCTTTCACTGTGAGTTTTTTACTTTGTTGTTTCACATTGGTATTAGACTAAGACTGTTACAACGGAATTGCCCATTATTATTGTTAAGTTATTAATATAGCATGTTTTTTTAATGTTATGTTACTTAGTTAATAATTCTGATTATATTGAACTCTGCCATGTTAATTTTAGAATGGTGAAAATGATGCTTCACTGCCTCCAATGAAAGACGAGTCTCTTAGAAACCTTCCAGGACAAGTGAGGACCAACAGTCCATCATCTACAGGACAAAGAGCTTCTGATATTCCAGCACCCGCAACTATTGTTGATAGACCACTGCCAACCTTGAACAAACAGTAGGTTAAAACAATCAAACATTGGTGGTAATGACAATTAATGAATAGCTTTGCAGATGTTACATTCATAAATACCTAAGACAGTTTACCCATTCCTATTGGTTGAGAGCTGGTCACATACATGGCCGGTCTTAAACAGTTGATAAAACACCGGCCGGCTGGCTGGTCTCAAACACTTATCCAGTGTCACATGAAGTTTGACTCCTATGAAATCTGGTCTATTTTATCCTTAAATTAGTTGAACATTCACAATTCTCACTTCGGCGTGTGAAATACTACCAATTAGTTAGTATTTCTAGTTCTAAATTCATACTACACCAGCACAGCTGCATTCTGCGTCACTAGCTGCATTCTGAGCCACATAGCTGCATTCTGAGCCACATCTCTTAGTATGCGCCACGGCCACGCGCATACCAATTTCCATATAAGGAGTTGTTTACGACTGCTCACGAGAAGCACATACCATAACATAGTTTGATAGGTGACATTTTAATAAAAACATGAAGTAACCTTGTTGAACAAAACTATTCTAATTTTATATTTTTTTTATACTTAATTTGACTCTTTTACCTTAACCCTAAAGGGGCCGGGGGAGGGGGGGGGGGGGGGGGCGGAATTACCCGGCCCCTTTAGGGTTAAAGGTATTTATGAATGGGAATAGATATACATCTTGGCCAGTATTAAACAAGTCCATTTAAGACCAGCTGGGGGCCTGGTCGCCAATAATATCTCTTGCTTTTGGCTCGGGCAATTCCCCAGCTGGTCTTAAATGGGCTTATTTAAAACTGGCCAAGCACATATTTATTCCCTTAATCATATATCCATTTCTAAGGCCAAAAAAAAAAGTCTCCGGTTTCTGGTATGCGCGCGCGTCGCCGTAGCCATGCGCGTCGGCAAAATGAAAAAGTTGTTTTTTTTCAATGAAAGATGATGTCTCAAAACCGCCAAACGCACTAGTTTGACTGGAATCCTGCTGCTGCACAATTTTAACGTGTTTTTAGATCGGGTTAGGGTCGAGAATAAGCTTTATGTGGCCTCTCTGGACTCCCATATATTTGCACTAAGTTTAGTCGGGCACCATTTGCAGTCATCAGCCGACATTTGAAGCAAAAAAATCAGGTAAAAAAAAAAAAAGCCGCGTCGCCGCACCACTTTTTTGGCAAGCTCCATACCAGAAACCGGAGACTTTTTTTTTGTGGCCTAACCATATCATGTGTCAGATATTACAATTTCAGTCATCTAGAATGGCCATGTGTCAACTATATAAAAATGTGTATTAGATTAATACACAGTGTGAGTAAAAAAAAACACCCAAAAAGGTGGCCCCTATTTTTTAAAGAAGATCTGTATGTGGCACTTTCCAAATCTAGACTATGAAAGCACAATTAATAAGCTTTCTTTTAGTGAATGAATCATTCAAATTGTTCATGTACTTTTCCAGTTATAGGAATTAACACAAACACCATTTTTTAACCTTGTCCACGGATCACAATAAAGGTAGGTGATATTTCAGCAAAACCAAAACTATTCACATACCAGAAAACACTCTCATAACCATAATAACTGGCACTTATCATGACATTTATTTTAAAATGTGCTGCTTCCCATGTTAAAATATCATGCTTTACAATGTCAAGAGTTTAAAGTCTTGCTTGGCTACTCCTACTTGGCTACCCCAGAAACTTATGGGATTATTCTGATATCATTTTCAGGATACAACATTGTTTCATTTTTACTGAAATTTTACGTACCTTAAATGTGATCCTTGGACAAGGTTGAAAAACAGTGTTTGTGTTCAAAATTCCATAACTGGAAAAGTACGATTAGAATAAGTCTTCACTAAAACAAAGCATATTAATTTGGTTTTTTTATATCCTGGATTTTGAAAATGCTACATGCAGAAATTGTTTAAAACATAGGGGGCACCATTTGGGTTCCCTTGTTTTTACTCACCCTGTACACGTTGTTGCATATAAATAAGGGAATAAATATATATGTGTTTGGCAGGTTTAAAACATGTTTATACCGGTTTGGAATCTGAATGCTTCTCGGGTGATTATCAACTTTCAAACCCCAAACTGGTCTTACACATCTTGTTTAAAACTGGCCAAACACATATTTATTCCCATTCAGAAATGCTTTTTTGGTAAAAAAATGTAGAAGAATTGATAAAACGTTCCAAAAAGTAGAAACATTGACAAAATTCTGACGATGTTTTGTTCACGAATTTCGGGGTTAGATTGCCATCCATGTTATTAGGCCGTTTTTATGAACGGAGCGTGAGATTGCATTTCCCTCCCCCCCCCCCCCCCAAAAAAAAAAACTACCCAAGATCACACCCTCAAAGAAGTTACTTTGAGGATTTTTGAATATCAAACTATTAACCTGTTTTCCTAACATTGTTTTCAGGCATGCTTTTACCATGAAACAGGAAGAAATAAGACAGCCTAAAGCAAATCGTTTGACACTTTCGTGATGCGCTAAGCTACTGGGCTAAGTGTGTGTGTGTAGCCATATGATTTTTGGAGAAACATTGTGAAATGTAAAACTTTAAAAACGGTATCGTTAAAAAAGTGACACACATTTTCAGGCTCATGTACTAGTTATATGTACACATTTCAGAGACCAAAACATCCCTGCTTTAAATCCATTACCTGCAGGGACAAAAAAATCCTGCTTTAGATCGACTAGTACACCGGAATATCAAACTTTGCAACAAGGATGCCAACTTTAAGATAAGTTAAAAACCAAACAAAAATACTGTACCCCCAATTTGTGGATATTTTGTAGAAAACATGTTCGGGTATAATTTAATTTAGGTGAAATTTAAGTTCAAAGAAAAGGTTAAAAAGTCATCATGTTTCAAATAACTGTGACATGAAAAAATACTGGTAAAGTTCGATTTATAATGATGTAAACTTTCCATAGAAACCACGATAACAAATTTGGCAAAAAAAAAAACCTGCCAAAAAATGGCGGTTTGTCCGATGGCGCAAAAACTTAAAATTTTAGCTTTTTCAGCCTAAATTACCGCATACACTAAATACGAATCACTTAAAAGGAGGTGGGGTATAAACTTTCAATTTTTGGGTGTGATTTGACATGGAATGACCCCTAGCTGTGTTTTTTTTTTAATTTTTTTTTAGAAAGATTCCGATACGAATCTCTCTAAGCCACGATTGTCGTGGTGTATTTGTCCACAAGACTGGCCATTTTTGGGTAGAACTTGTATATGTATGTGTACGTGTGTGAGTTCCGATGGTTACACGCACATGTACACCCATTCTTAGTTGGTTGTGTGTGTGTAGTAGCTGGTAGCTGCATCCCATTCACTTGTAAACAGTATCGAGCTAGCGGCCTTGGCACAAGCAGACAAAGTTTTCCTGCAACTTCTTAGTCTCTTTATTCAGCCATGTTTTCTGCCTATCAGACAATTTTACTTGAAAATGATGCAAATTTATTTGCTTTATCAAAATTAATTAGTTTTTGTCGAACTTCAAAACCATCAAATTCTGAAGACTACACTTTCAAAGCCAGAATTTGATTGTCCTGACTCAGGGGCCACCTTTATCAGGGGCCATCTTAAACACTTCCAGCTGGTGTTTTATCATCCGTTAAAGACCGGCCACGTGATGGGCTCTCGACCAATAGGAATGGGTAAACTGTCTTAGGCCAAAAAAAAAAGTCTCCAGTTTCTGGCATGGAGCTTGCCCAAAAAGTGGTGCGGCGACATGGCTTTTTTTTTTTTTTTACCTGACTTTTTTGCTTCAAATGTCGGCTGATGACTGCAAATGGTGCTTGACTAAACTTAGTGCAAATATATGGGAGTCCAGAGAGGCCACATAAAGCTTATTCTCCTTCTGTTGGCCTTAGGTATTTTTGAATTACCTTTTATTCACAGCATTGCATTATGTTACCTCATACATTATACCTTGAAGCACTTTTAGGGTGCTGCGCATGTGTAGGCTCTGTGTGCCTTGCTACAGAGAACATGCAGCCTCTCAATATTATGTCTGGCAAGAAAGCTCACAGTAAGGTTTCACTTCACAGATTTAATTTATTTCTTGCATAGTGAGTGACAAATCTTTTTGACTGGGTGTTTGTTATTCCCCAGGAGGATGCAATGCACCCTTATCTTCGCCTGATGGGGTGCTGTGTGTCTCTCGAGCCAAAAAATTAACTTGTCTCACATCACAGCAGTCAACAACTGTTGAAAAGAACCCCAAATTGGAAACCCCTAGCCACTCCCTACGCTGTCATACTACCCTCTTGCAGTTATAACTTATTACAGTTCCCACATGTGTCCTTATCTTTTCCTTAATGGACTGAATAAAAAAAAAAATTGAATGTTTCAGGCAGTTTCTTAGTGGATATTTTCATTCCAGGTCACTATATATTTGAAGTACGTGGATTCCCTTTGAAGAACTCATTATGTATGCAGAAGTTCTATATTTCTACGTATGTATGCAGCTCTCCAAGCAATAACATACCAGAACCGCTGCCAAGTAAGCCTGACCAAAACGATGCTGCAGGAAGAGATGAAGCTGTGAGTGACTCTATGATGACTGGAGGACTACCATCTGATCATGCAGAACCAATGAATGAAAATGCATTACGACAAGCTGCAGCAGCTATTGATGTATTTGGACAAGAATTGGTAATGCATGTAGACTGCTTCTATTACTACCTTGACAACTTCTTAAAAAGAGTATCATGACCCCTGTAAGATGTGAAACACCAACAAAAATTCAACATATTTGTTTGTTAATACATTTCTAACTTACAAACACCTAATAGTAACAATGCATACATTTGAATTATATATCTAGCAGAGCTCAAAGGCTAATAGAATATGGTTTGATCTCACTCTGTATGTTGACAGAACACCAATGTTTGTCTGTAATAAGTCTTATTGACTGATATTTGGTTTTGTACTAGTGATTGGCACAACCAAATCACTGTTTGGAGTTGTTACGATTAATCTTTCTTGCTTTCTTTCTTTCTTTCTGTCTTTCATCAGGTGTCAAATTACTTTCACCTATAACTCTTGAACAAAACAATCAATCATGTTCACACCTTGTAAGCAGATAGACCATTAATTGATAAACATTTTTTTTCGTGTACGTGAAATTGCTTGACCTTTACTACTTCTGGATCAACTGGAAGGTCAAAGTTAGGTGAATTTAAGAAACAGACAGAAGCCTCCACATCGAAATGAACCGAATTTCTTCCGAACGATTTACAGGGTCATGATAAAACCTGGTTTGAACTTGAACTCCCGTCCAAAGATGTTTTTGGCGAGCTGCGAAGCAGATGCGAGCCTATGTAATACCAATTTCCGTCCGTCTGTCCGTCCGTCCGTCCGTCCGTCCGTCCGTCCGTCCGTCCGTCCGTCCGTCCGTCCGTCCGTCCGTCCGGCCGTCCGCGTTCAGATAAAAATGTTGAAGTTTTTGGTTCTAGTTAACTTGGGGAAAAAAATTAAATGCAGTTGTCATGTATCATCTTTATAACTTCAGTTAGGTTCATATCATTGCAGTAAATTTTATGATTTTATTGAGGAATTTTAATTCAAGGAAATGTTAAAGTTTTTAATTGTTACATGTACATTGTACATGTATACTGGTATAACATGTACGTGTGTGTATACCGGTATAACATGTACATGTACACTATGCATTTTGGGGATGTGCATGAGCTTCTGGTTTGGGGTTGGAGTAGGGATGGGGTAGGGGAGGGTAGGGGTGGGGGTGGGGGTGGGGGTGGGGGTGGGGGTGGGGGTGGGGGTGGGGGTGGGGGTGGGGGTGGGGGTGGGGGTGGGGGTGGGGTGGGGTGGGGTGGGGTGGGGTGGGGTGGGGTGGGGTGGGGTGGGGTGGGGTGGGGTGGGGTATAGGGTTGGAGTTAGGGTTTGTGTGAGTAGGATGAGTAGGGGAGCTAGGATGGGTGGGGCGGGGTGGGTTGGGGTGGGGAGAGGGGTTGGAATACTGGGTTTGGGTGGGGTGGGGATTTGTAGGGGTGGGGTGGGAACAGGTAGGGAGAGACAGGTAGGGAGAGGATGGGCATGGATGTAGGGGTTGGGTTAGGAGGGGGTTGGGCAGGGGGCGGGATATAGGATCGGAGTAGGGGTTGGGTTGGGGATGTGTAGGGATGGGTTGTAGGGGTTGGATAAGGGGAGGGGGCAGTATATAGGGATCAGAGTAGGGGTTGCATGGGGTCAGGTGGGGATGTATGGGTGGGGGAATGGGGTGGGCGGGATATTGGAATTCAAGTAAGGGTTAGGATGGGGATGTGTAGGGTGGGTAAGGACAGATAAGGGAAGATAGGGTAGGTGGGTGTAGGGGGTTGGGGTAGGGGAGGGTACGGGTCAGGGGAGGGGGAAGGAGATAGGGATTGGAGTTTGAGTGGGGTTGGGATGTGTAGGTGATAGGGTGGGGATGGTTAGGGGAGGATGGAATGGGTGTGGGTAGGGGGTTGGGTGGGGGAGGGGGCGGGTTGGGGATGGGGTAAGGTTTTGGGATGGGGTAAGGTTCGGGGGAGGTGGTGATGGTGCTGTGTCTACATGTACATGTATACCCATTCTTGTTCTGCATTTGTGGCGACTACACAAGAGTTTTCCCATGGTACTACAAGTATGGGGACCAGAAGACACTGTTGGGGCTGCAAAAATCCACAACTGGGTCCTAATAACCTTAACAATGGAAAACTCCCCCATAATACAGTGACGGCTAACCTATATACATATGTATTTATTAGGTAATCTGTTAACTTTTTATGTTGACATTTAAAAACTGACCCCTACACCTAGGCACATCAACAAGAATCCTGATCCCCTTCCATCATGCCCATCCCCAACCCTACCTTCAGCCTCCCTTCCTGCCTTGGACAGCGAGCCATGGCGGCTTCGCCGTTCTAGTTTAAAAATGTGACATCATCAAGATGTCATCAGGTATCAAATTACAAGCAATTTATGGGCCAAATTTGTGAAAATGGTTTTAGCTATATCTTAAGAACTAAATAGAGTACCATATTTGTTTTTGCATGAGGTTGTAAATGATGCCTCGGGCAACAATTCTTATTCCCAGGCACAAAACTGCTTGACCTTCACTTCCGGTGTTACCGGAAGTGCAATACAAATTTAACATAACTCGAAGGTGGAAGCTCTTTACTATAAGCAAATAAATTATGGAAGTGTTAAGAACGGAATAAAAGGACACAAAAACAGCATTATGAGGTCATCATTTGAAAGGGCGCCCTCTCGCGGTACATCAAATAGGGTTTCCTATATTTAATTTAAAAACCATCCATCCAAATTTAACCAAATCGCCTCTTGTTTTGTTTTATCAACAACATATAACTTTGCAAGATTTCAAAATTATGACGCCATTAGACCGGAAGTTCCTGTAGGGAGAATTTGGAAATGATTTTTTTTTTAGCTGTTCCCAATTTCAATTGGGAACAGCTCTTGTTTTCGTTAAAGTTTTTTTTTGTCCTTTTTTTTTTTTTTTTTTTTTTCCCCACTTTCCCCATAGGTTTTGTACACGTTTTTATTCTACAAGCCACTTTGGCAATTATTTTCAATCCAATCAACTTAGTTATTAACCATCATCTGAAGATGTATGCTGAAATTTTTCGTCATGCTGACGTCATCACGCGATTTATTATAGAATTTTGAATATTTAATTCTTCCCGTAGACTTTGTACACAGAAATTTAAAAAAAATGTAGATTTTCAGAGGGCATTTTCGACTCTTTGCCAGTTATTCATTTACACCACTCTTTGTCCAAGCAAAGACCCTAATTCAAACAGCATTGTGTAATGATGACGTCATGATGACGTCATCCGGTGTTTATTTATAGGCAATCAAATTGTGACACTTTTAATATTTAAAAATGCATAAGAAATCAACCGTACGCGTCCGCAGCATTCTGTTGCCGGCAAGTGGTAGAGTAGGTTGAGATCTTTATTTCATTCAGTGTGCGTGCAATCACGTGACCCTTGCTTCCGGTTGAAAAAGGCCAAAACCGGAAGTGGCTTATTATTTGAAAGTGGTAATAGATATTAACTTGCTTTCAACGGTGTTAGTCTCTTGGCTGATAGTATTCTTTAAATCATTTACCGATGACGTCATGCGATCTTCGAGCGCCCTCTAGCGACAGGTTGAAAATTTTCAAAAATGTATTTTGAATAGATGTCTGTAGCGAAGTTTGTTGGAATCGCCTAAATATTGGTGTATATGATGACCTTGACCCACTTAAGATGTGTGCGAAGTTTTAGGCGTAAGACGTCATCAGACCGGAAGTTCCGTTGAAAAGACCTTTCCTTTTTCAAAAATTGCTAACAAATCAATCCGTACAGATATAATCTTGAATTGCCCATTAAATGATAACGTAAGCATTTGCCTCAACAGTGCCAAGGTCCCAGCTTGTCAAATTGTTCACACAGTTGACGCGGCGTCGGCAAAAAATACCCTTGCGCAAGTTGCGGCAGAGAGAGTAAAAAATGCCGACTCATCCAAAGCGAGCATGAACCGCAAGTCTGTGCGTGTATACATTGACCGGATTCGGCATTGCCTGCTTCCCATACACCACACACGCATGCGTATTTGGTCCCATACGCATGCGGGAAATAAAAAAGTAACTGGTGCACAAGTGCATTGGCGCTGGCCTGAACATTCGTGGGATACGTATATAGTATGCGCGTAAATCGAAGCCACATGATAATTCGCGCATGGCGTCGGGCCGTTTGACGCAGCCCGTTTTGCTCACAGAATTTACAATGTAAAAGCAGTTAATGTCGTGTCTAGGTTTTATTAGTAGTCTATTTGCACCGCTCTGTTGTTTCGGGCTCCAGCTTCTACATTGTTCAGGACTGGGTGTGAAACGATTGGAGAGTAGAAACCGGAGCCGGCGCCATCTTCCTGTGTTCCCTTGTGGGGTGGGTGGGTGGGGAAAGCTGTTGCCGAGCCCTCACCAGTGTACTTGCCGACTCAAAGAACCGTTGCTTAGTCAACCTCGAACCCCGTCTGGCAGAGTGGCGACTGATGTAGAATCATCAGTCGCCCTCTACGGCCAAGGCAATGCCAATAGTAGTCTATTTGCACCGCTCTGTTGTTTCGGGCTCCAGCTTCTACATTGTTCAGGACTGGGTGTGAAACGACTGTTCGCTCCAAAACTCCTAAGTCAGCTAGAACTCCTGCACCAACCTATGGGAAATCGCTAGTTCTCCACCCATATCTCACCCTAAATCTGAGCCTCCATGACGGGTCGCTGTCAATGCCTCCAAACGTTTAAGCTCGTTAACGATCGGGACCCTTAAATGCGCTTTGCGCTTTGAAGCCAGAGTTTAAGGTCCGATAAAAGACCCCCGCCATGTCTGCTAATGGTACCTGGTCACTGCCATCGTCGCTGACCGCGTCCTTCAACATCTGTACCGTGCTCCGACGCCTGGATATCCTTTCAGCCTGAGTATAATGCTTATAGGTGCGGTGCGTCGCCCACCTACAGTGGTCCATTATTTGCTGATCAGTAGCTCCCAGGAGTTTTAGCGTGGCGGCCACTCCTGCTCGCCCACCATGCGGCCTAAGGTTGCTGTCGCTAGGTTCAGAGGAAGATGCGAAGTAGAGCTTCAACCTGTTGGCAGGAGCATTTCCGACGAAAGGTTTATTTGCCAAAGCCTGTCTATTAGGAGTTGCAGGGCGGAAGAGATACCCATCAGAAAGATTGTAACCCCCGGTATTTGCCCCTTCCACCATCCTGTCAACAGCCCCCACCGGGTCCATATCCTCGGCCTCCAGTTTTGGGATTACGATTAAAGAAGAGTTACTTTCTCTCACTGTTTTGCCCACCGTGTGGTTGAACAAAAGATCTCTGTCATCAATCCTTGTGACCTCGCATGTTTTGGCACGACCGAGATCCGCTGCCCGATCGCCCGCCCACCACAAACACAGAAAAAATGCCAGATCCCTGTACAAAATATAAGACTGAATAAATCCTTTGCTGCCGTTTGATTCAAGATCGGAAATCCTCCTCCTTATTTCGCCCGACAACCATCTAATTTTGTCTGAAAATATCGGTATCGCCTGCCGGGGAGTAACATGCGCCTCTGCTTGCTCCCGGCGGACGGCCCTGATGTACTTTTGTATGCGGTGCGAGATGCATGGATTTCCACATTGGCCGCTCTCTGTCCAATACTGCGTCCTTCCAATGGCGTTAAAACAGGCTCTTAGCTGGCCGACGTAAGAATCTATTGTACCGACCGCCAAGTGCCGTGAGCAGCCGCAGGTGCAAAAACCATTCTTTCCTAAGTTTGGACATCCAAGAATATGAACTTGCGTCCTGCCCCTTGAATCCCTATCAATCAGAAACTTGACAACATCGTTCGGAGTAGCCGTATCCAAATCGGCGCCTTCTGTACAGTAACCCCCGGCGTGCTTATTGCTAAGAAAATCTTCTAAGCTTCTCACTAGGCTGCTCTTTTGTTTGCTGTATGCAGAGTTGTCCAGCCTGTCGTCGAGCTCCTTCAGCCTGGCTGCCACTCGAACGAGCTACATAATCAACAAAAGAAAACAAAGCCAGAATTATGCCATGCAGAGTCTGGTTTTACACCACTATTTGCGTACCCACTCGCAGACTAAAAATGGAGCGCAACAATAACTGCAGCCGTCGGTGCAGCTTCAAGCTTCCCTCAACTATCAAGTGAACCTGATCGATCAAATCCTGCTGCATTATGTGATCGTTGGAGAGAAAATGCCAACCATTCTGCCTACACAAGGATTTAAGACCTAAGTTGGCAGATGCGACGACTCGATTCGTCTCGTGGTTCCTCGTTTGGCAAATTCCGGGAACCGAGCTCGTAACTGCTTCGAAACAACTCCAAAGAGCCTCCCCAGTTTCCCAGATTCTACAAATGGATCTGTACTCCTGCTGAGGTCATTGATACCCCCATGCAAAACCGCTACAGCTGGTGCTTGCGCCCGGCACAACGATGACATGATCCTGCAAAGTGCTTCCATCTTGGCCCCACCTTGGACTTGAACTCTGACATTTAGGCCAGACGGCCAACCGAAGGCGACCAACCCCTTGAACATAGAATCCGACACTAGAAACACTTCCTGTGTTCTGGGAAGTCTCAGCTCCTTTGGAGCGCCCGGATCTGCTGGGAAATAGCACTTAAATGCCCATAGCTCAAATGGAAGGCCGACCACATTTGGTCTATAACCTTGCTTAGACGGGAATTCTAACACGCCTGCTTGGCCAGCCTCTGAAAGCCTTACTGATTGTACTGCAAAGTGCCTGAGATGCGGCCACCAACTTTTTGGATGCGCATGCTTTGGCACCACCAGCATCACGACCACATCACCCCACTCACCAAAGAGTTTCACCAGCGATGTGATGGGTACAAAGGGTGGAAAAACATACAATTCCTGACCCCTTGGACAAGGCTGAGCGAATATATTCACTCCTGAGCTGCCAACAACTGGGTACCTGGAAAAGAACCCGAGAGAAACCCCCTGTTTATCCTTTGGCACATTGGACGGTAGTGCCATGAGGTCAAAAGTAAAACCTGAATCTGTGCCGAGCTCTGTTTGAAGGAAGAGCCACAGTGACTGGCTGAGCTGTGAATCCGATCTGGAAAGTTCCCTTGATGGAGTATCGGCCGGATTTCTGTGCGACGGCACCCATTCTAGCCTCAAGTCAAAATTTGCCTCCACCGTAAGCGCAAAAATCAGCCTCAGAACCTTGTTAAGAGCCGATGACTTCGATCGCAAGTTCGTCCATGTGTGGTATAGGCTTTTGGAATCAACCTGGACATCAACCCGTCTATCCCAGAGGACATCTATCACGGAGAGCAGAACAAAATACAAGGCAAGAGCCTCCTTACAGCCTATATCGGCCATCCTCTGAATTTCAGGTGACCAGTAGTCTCCAAAAGAGACACTTACCTTTTCGAGTGCCAATATCCCTCCCCATTTGTAGCCTGATGCATCTGAACTTAGCTGCACCCTCAAGTGATGCTCACGCCTCCATGGAATCGGTTCTGACAATGAGTCAACAAAGCGCCAAAACAGTACTTCGTCTCTTACTGGCTGCGATAATGGCATCGCGTTTGTGTCATCTAAACTGGACATGAACTGACAACACTCCCGCGTGAATAGGGAAACTGCCGGGAAAACTAATCTAAAGCTCTGACTCTTCCCCACAAAACGTTGCAAGGTCTTCAAAAGTACTGCGTCTGCGGATAGAATCTCCTCCCTCACTGTAGCAAAGGACAGCTTCTTTTTGTCCGGAATCCAAAAGGATAACGTCTGCGAGCATATCCCCAATCCCAGATGGACCATACTGGACACAGGTTGCAGCTGACTCTTCTTTAAGTTGATGACATTTTGTTTGACCACTGAAACCGCAACTTCCGGTCAAACTGGAAGTACCTGACTCGTCAAAATTTTAAAAGATGAGATGTATTTTTGCACATCTGATACAATCATATTATAGGAATTATTCTAAGCATTTTGAACAACCTTTAACTGCATGAAGCACTCTGAAAAGTGACTACAAAAGGACCAACAAAACATAAACATTTGTAAAATGCGAAAAAGCCATTTGCTCCATCTGTAAGATGGACAACATATCTATATTTTTTTTTCTTTTTCCACTTTTCCCATAGGTTTTGTACACATTTTTATTCTACAAGCCACTTTGGGAATTATATTAAATCCGATCAACTTTAAACTCGGCATAGTATGCCGAAACTTTTCGTCATCGTGACGTCATCAGGGGTCACGTGACATCTATTTATAGATTCAATTTTTACAGCCTTATAACTATAGAACTATTTGACCGATTGATCTTAAATTTGGTAGGTATATAGACAGGGAAGTGTTATAGATGAAAATTGATATGTCAAGGTCACGTGACCTTCACTTCCGGTTTTACCGGAAGTGGTAATTTTAGACCCCTGTATCATATTTCATGAATTATTAATCTGATTGGGTTGAAACTTCACATTAATACAAAGCTTTATTGACAGATAATTATATTGCATTATCATTACTTTGCACTTAATTATTGTCATGTTATTACGTCATGAATATTTAATGAGACAATCTTTACAGTCTTATAACTATAGAACTATTTGACCGATTGATCTCAAATTTGGTAGGTATACAGACAGGGAAGTGTTATAGATGAAAATTGATATGTCAAGGTCACGTGACCTTCACTCCCGGTTTTCCGGTTTTACCGGAAGTGGTTATTTTAGACCCGTATATCATATCTCATGAATTATTTATCTGATTGGCTTGAAACTTCACATTAATACAAAGCTATATTGACAGATAATTGTATTGCATTATTATTACTGTGCACTTAATTATTGTCATGTTATGATGTCATGAATATTTAATGAGACAATCTTTACAGTCCTATAACTATAGAACCATTTTGTTTAAACAAAATTATTGGTTGTTCTGGAAAGGTTAGATTTTCGAGATCCTTTGTTCTGACATAAAATTAACTTAACTGGGCTGTGTCTAATGAAATAGTTGTTGGCCCGACCACTCTGTGTTTGTAACTCAACAAACGCCTTGACCTCTAGTATATATATATTTTTTTGTGCTCTACAGGTTGCCAAACTGTTCTCTAAAAACTGGACATTTAGAGAAGAAGCCCTAGCAGAAATAAAACAAAAACTTGAGAATGAACCGGAAACAACTGATAAAGATGAAGTGCGTAATGTGCTTAGAGCATCAATATACCTCTCCTCCAAGGGACTGAAGGATAAGGTCTTTGCTGTAAGTTGATATTGTGTTCTTAGATTTCCTTCCAATTTGTGTTTGTATTGATGGAATAGTCAAGGATTCAAAGTTAGGAAAACATTGCACCTCTTTTAGTACTCTAAAAGAATGGATTTTTCATTTTGCATTCAATTCAAAGTCCTAGTCTTGACACTCGCTTCATTACGGGCACTCTCCTAATTAACATCAGCGAAGTTACACATGTTTTTGTAAATGTTTTAGGAAATGAATGTTTTTCATTCCAAATATTTGACAACCCTTCCTTTGTTCATTTCAGGTATTTATATCTGCATTAAGTCTTGTGAGGTCACTTTATGAAGACTGGATTCCAAAGCACAAACCACACAAAGCAGACACCAGCCATTCATTGGAAGTTGTCATACCGGACCTGATGGCTAGAATAGGAGATACGGTAATTTATTATTTGTCACAATGAGTCTCTACAAGGCTTCCCCTCACTATGCGGGGAGGCAGCTTCACTAGAGTCACTTGCTTTGTGGTCGAGTTGTCACCTTTGTAGGCATTCCCAACTTAGCAGGGGGATTTCCTGTGTAGTGGGCAATCAACTAGCCTAATTTGCATGAGCAACTCTTGAACATACTCACACACTGCCACATAGTCAGACATACAGGTCCTTTTGGGGAAAAGCTTTGATCTTGTAATAGTTAATACAGTACCTGCTGCTATGTACATCAGATTCAAACCAGCCAATCGATCCTGGTAGCTCGATGGTTGAGTGGTAAGACATATGCACTAGAAAGTAGGAGGTCGTGGGTACGAGTCCCACTTGAGTGATTTTTCCAACTTTCACTCAGGAGGTAACACACTGAATATACAGTGTTTATACGCCGGTGAAAGGCAAAACCTAACATGATCTTTGTTTCTGTTCTTTAATTTCTATTGAAATCTCAAACTCCATAGCGGTTCCCATAGTGAAGACAGATTTCTAAAGACTTCCTTGTAGGGTCTATAATTCTATTGTGTTTACTGGCCCTAAAGGAACCATGTACATGAACTTTCTGCTTTATAGCATAGTGGTAATGTGATGTTGCTGTTTTCTGTAAGTGACTGTTTTCATTGCTTTAATTCTTGATGTCTTTTCAGGATTTTTTTTTTTGGGGGAGGGGGGTAGGGACGAAAAGGATTGTTGTAGACGTGTGGCCGGTTTTAAGCACCCACATAATGGGCTTTTGAACACATGTTTGTTTTAATCTGATTTCGTACTAGCAGGGGTCAGCTGTAATTCATAAATAGCCAAGACAGTTTACCTACTTCTATTTCCTAATCTGTGACGTCATCAGACCAGAAGTAAGTTGTAAATTAATTGTGTTCTGAAATATATCGATGCCTGAAGGGTGCATTTGTTCAAAATCATAGGGGTCATTCAGACACTGTTTTAAATTCCGTTAAAACACTGGTTAAACTTTTAAAACGATGTATGAACTCCTTTATATCAAGACCAAATTGAGTTAAACTCGTTGCTAAAATGGCATGTTAAACCTGCTCAGAGGGAGGGTTTAGCACATAACCAAAACGAGTTCATCTCCTAGTAGTACGATGTATGAACGGTTTTAGCTGAAATGCTTCTCGTTTTAGCCAGCGCAGTGATCCAGAGTTGGGTAACAACCTCTCAGTGGCGCACTTTTGTGTCAATCGAACAACGTACAATGTGCTACATGGTGGGCACAAAACACCCGTGAATCTCCTAATTTCCCCTCCTGTTAGCCATTCATGAAAAAAAAATCCAACTTCAAGTCCAATCTCTGCAACTTTTCTGACCACATGGTCCGAGTTATGCATGGTGCTCACTCGCATACACCTTGACAAACATGTAGATGCCAACGCAACAACCGCTATCCGGAACTTAATTATTATAATACTCTAACATATTCAACTACCACGAAAACCTTGGCAGTGATTGGTCAATATTGCAATGTTAGTATCACAATGTTAATATATATTTTTTACGTGACTGACATGTTGTGCAGGCAACTTGCCTGATGTAGTAAACCCGGGAGTGAAACCTGTTCAATGACGTGTGGTTTCGAATTCTGATTTTTGAACAACATTTAGAACAGAATAGGTACAGAAAATAGCCCCCAGAATGTTAACACAAATGGTATAAGGCCGATGTACGATACTTCAAAAAAATGGGGAAATCACCGCGGTGGACTAGTGACTGTTGTCATGTTTACCACATGCCACGCTATATAACTGACCGAGGCTGCAATGTCAAACACGGCATGGCAGCACACATCACGACGGTGAGGGCTCAGACCATGTGTAGCAAACTGTGAAAATGAAGAGTGAAGGCTCTTTTTAGCGCGTTGTTTTTTTGCCGAGGCGGATGTTCTACATGACTTTAGACACTGACATAAACCACTTCGAGTTTATCTTGCTATATTTAAAATTATGTCTGGACACTCAGTAGTTTTATTTTTAGGATGGGCCTCCCGTGGTGAGCGACCGTTTTAACTGTTACTGTTTTAGCAGTAACGGTATCTGAACATGGCCAAATACACTTAGGCTAAAAAAAAAAGTCTTCGGTTTCTGGTATGGAGCTTGCCCCAAAAGTGGTGCGGCGATGCAGTTTTTTTTTTTTTTTTTACTTTTTATTTCTTCAAATGTCGGCTGATGACTGCAAATGGTGCTCGACTAAATTTAGTACAAAATTTATGGGAGTCCAGAGAGGCCACATAAAGCTTATACTCGATAGTAACCCCATCTAAAAAACACGTTAAAATTGTGCAGCAGCAGGATTCCAGTCAAACCCGTGAGTTTGGCGGTTTTGAGACATCATCTTACATTGAAAAAAAAAAACCTTTTTAATTTTGCCGACGTTCATGGCTACGGCGACGCGCGCATACCAGAATCCGGAGCCTTTTTTTTGTTTGGCCTTAAACCAAATGTTGAATTTCATATTCTTCATAGTTTTTGCTGTTAAAAACATTATTACAACTAAATTTAACAATGTCAAATGAAATAGCCTGCCAAATTCTACTTTTAAAATTATCTGTGTAACCTAATTTTGGGGGGTAACAGTTACGATTAACCTTACCCGATGTTCTATTTCTGGAAATCAAGAAAAAAAAACTCCCCCCCCCAAAAAACAAAGGCTTGGGAAGTTGGTTCATAGCCTCATTTTGTTACCACGTGAACAATAGAAGCTCTTCGGAGAAGAAATTTATTTGAAAGACGCTCCTAATTTTATTCCCCTGCTGAAATTATTCCTCTGTTGGACCAAACCGTAATTCAACCTGTAAATTTTTCCCGACCCAAGATAACTGGTTTAATATATTCCAAGTAAGTAACATTTGTGAAGTACATATTTTCTCTCCTTGTTGGAAATTGTGTCTGGGGAAAAAAACATTCCCCTGTAAAATCCTAGATGTCCCCATTGGTTTCCAAATAAATTTGAGGGCTAATTATCTTGTTTTCTGCATGAAAAATATTATAAACTCTGAGCCTATTAATTTACAGACCCCTTCAGTACAGATACGGAATAAATTCAAGAGATTAATCTCATTGAATGTACTTCTGGCTCCCTTGTATTTACAGGAAAAAAAAGGGAAAGGAGACTTAAAAACTCCAGAACAACAGGTCAAATTTGGTTGAATATTAGTATGTGAATAGACCAGGCCTTGAATTTGGTAATTTTTAGGGCATGGCCACTGCCTTGAATGAAGCAAAATTATAGAGGGCACCAAGGCCAGTAGGTAGGGCACCAAGGCCGGTTTGGGCCGCCTGCTTTAATCGCTTTTTTTTGTGCCGCATTGTTGATTTTTCTGATTTTTGTTTTTGTTACAGAACATAGGAGTAAATAAGTTATTTTTAAAACCTTTTGACAATCGAAACTCCATGTGCACGTGTGTTTTTGTGACCATCGTCATTTGCCTCGTACATGAACATCAATGCGTATTGTATAACGCGTGTGCAAGCACTAAGAAAAAGAAAGTCGTTTGACTTTGCACGTAAGATCTGCGTTTGTACATACGTATTCTTGCTTAGGTGTGTGTACGAATACAGACATGTATTTTTGTGGCGGGGTGTCCCTGCTTGAAGTATTGGCACACTCTGGAACTGGACTAGATTCAGTTTCTGGTTCGTATACATACATCATACTTATATGTACAGTGGGGAATCGCAAAGTCAGATTCAGTTTACATACATCATACGTTTACATACATCGTTTACATGGCCACGTATATGTACGTGTGTGATTTATTCAGCAAGATTAAAACACAACTGTTCTGGCTAGCATGACATCGAAAACCGGTCTCCTAAACACTGTTTAGTCTCACCAATGTAGAGCTGCTTGCACCGTTGGCAGATGATGGCATACACCAAGTTACTGGTGATGCAGGTGTGGCATCCACGTATGTGGTAGCATTCTTTGGGACCAACAACACAAGTGATAGTAGGGTCCACATACTGACATGTTCTGTTTTGCCGGGGGTGGACCCTGAGGTGTAGGGCGTGTGATGAAGCGTTGATCGAACCAGTTGATCAGCGACAGATTTATCACGACAGAAGGCACATGTCGGTGCAATGTCTTTAAAGATGCTGCTGGTCAGGGGGTCTTGTTGCAGGGATTTGTAATGTTTCATCAAAACATTTCGGACTTTGGGTGATATATGTCAAGACAAAGGGGATACGGGTTGAAAGTTTAGGGAGAATCGGACGCAGCGCTTGCTGACGCGTAAGGGCGGAGACATGATGGAGAGCGGATGAGATCACTGTATCGGGATAACCTCTGGCAGTAAGAAATAACCGCACTTGTTGGCTTTGCTGCATGAAATCGTCATCCTCACCACAGATGCAACGCAACCGAAGGAACTGGGAATATGGGATGGAATCCTTGCATTTTCCGGATGTGACGACTCAGAATTATTGTAGATATGAATGTGAATAGGTCGGCTTGTAGTGGATGCTTGTGGATAAGCAGTCTCCTTTAATTGAGATATCGATATCGAGGAAGGAGATGGAAGTGTCACTAACAACAGCCGGGAACTCCAGTGCTGGATGGAAATTGTTAGCGAAGTCAACAAAGCGAGATATTTCCTCTTCCATTTCAGTGGAGATTCCGATAATGTCATCAATGTAGCACTTGAACAGAACCGGTTTAGGTTCCGCATATTCATTAAGCATCTTTTCTTCTACAAATCCAACGAATAAACAAGCATATGAAGGTCCCATACGGATGCCCATAGCTGCTCCCTTCATTTGCAGGTAGTGTTTGCCATTGAAGACAAAGTTATTGAGTGTAAGCACCAATTGGGCCAGGCAAAGCAGAACATGCGTAGCGGGAGTTCTCTCATCACGCTGGTCAAGGTAGTACTTCATAGCTCTCAGGCCGTCGGAGTGTGGGATGGATGTGTATCCGCTCCGTTCACAAGCACCCCCTCACCGGCA